GGATTTATGTGGTAGGCCATTCAATCTAATCTAAGAGCTAGTCCGCGACAACATACGCGTAAGCAAAGAGGGGGGAGGGTCCAAATGATAGTAGCTCAAGGGGTTTAGGTCAGTGAGTATGAAACCCCGTGATCGACTTAAAAACAGATGCCATCCACCAATGATAATTGAGACACACACAGAGACAGTCACCGCTTTTATTAAGTATACAGATAAGTGTTCGTAAATGCGTTACCGCTGGTATGGGGGAAATAATCAAACATTTACAAATTCAGGAATTTTGTTTGCAGCGCTCGCAGAACTGTGTTTCAACTAAACAGAGGTCCAACTGACGGTTCTGCAGTTGGATTAGTACAGTCCGCGGTGCGATACGCCGCGCAGACGTTCAATGAACATGCGGAACGGCTTACTCCCAGCGGCCGCGGGAAAAAACTTGGACTATATTTCTTTTCATTACACATCTAAAAAGTTCCTTCTCTGCCTATCCTACTCCCCAAGTAAATGAATATGCTGCAAACGGGTCCGGTCTACGTAAAAAAGTGATTTCTTTCATTTTCACTGAAGTTGTGTCCCAAATTTTGATGGAATTTAAAACATTTGTCTGAATTTTTCATTGTTTCTTTTCACGGTTTCTTTGACTTTATCTTCAAATCAAGTAAAATACGCAGACGTTCGACGTCGTAATGTCTGAGTAAAGCACTTATCCGGAAGTACATTGCTACAGAAAATTTTATAATTAATAATAAGCACATTAATTCACGACATGTGTTGTGGACGTTTATTTTTCTTGACAATGATTCTAAAACTATGACCCATATAAATATCTGCATAAGAAGTGACTTATGAAAACTCATTATTTAGGTCAATTTTTGTTAAGAAATATCTCATTTTCAAGATTTTGATAAAAACGTAGAAAAAAATGGTATCTACGCAAAGTTTAAAAATCCACTCAAATTATTTTAGTGTTAAGCGGAATTTCAAGAACAATCTGAAGCTCGTCGCATTCCAACTCTCGAAATATTTACGAAGGAATATGACGGAAGGAGAGTTCTCTCAATGTTCACTAAATAGTATGTTTACGATTGCACATTACAGATTGTTTTAAATTTGTTAGTCACGAACGGGCATACTCACAACTGAGCTAACGAACTACTATTCCTCCATATCGAGTCAATTAGCACAACCAAGTGAAAACTCTGGTTTACTTAGTTCCACGTATCTCAAAGGATGTAGAAACAGCGAAACTATGGAAAGGTTTTTTTAACTGATTTTCTATTACGAACTGGAACTTTAGGCTATACGGCAACAGACGTACTCTATATTGCGTGTAATATATCAGCGTATTTGTCCGAAAATTGCACAAAAGTAGTATTGCCAAACGTTAGTCTAAATGTGCTGCTTTTTTTACTCGGCTATTTGCATGCACACTACCTCTACACTTAAAGGTTAAGTTTTCTAAGTAGCTCTGAGTTTTCACGTCTGCGAAATTGTCTGTTTTTCTTAATTAAAGTACTTTCACTTAATCACATATTATTACTTGATAAATCACCATATGTCTTCTTCGTATAAGGATGCTTATTGTTACACATTGAGTGCGGGAACTGTAGCTTGGAATTTTTTTCCTACCAGCCATTTTCGTGTAAACATCATCGGATTTCATCAGCATTACCGACTCCTATCAAACCTACTCCATAGTGGATTTGTGCAGTCGTCTGGGATATCATAGTGAATCGTCTAAGGGATAAAAGAGGTTAAACTCTTGCGGAGTGACTGTCTGAAAATTTTGACAAGCAGAAAGCCATTACTGCTTACTGTAGCCTCTGCGGTGTTCCAACACAAGTGAACTCTGAGCCGCCGACTCCCTTCTGTGTTAGAAGTGCTGTGTGCAGTGGAAGTTACGGCGCATTCAGCACACCTCACCCCTGGCTACTCTCGCTTGGATATTGCAGAAAAACCACTGTTTAATATACTAAATTAGATTTATTGGAAATTAAAAGAGCCAAATGAAAAGCACGGATGCATGAACTTTACATACAGACCTCCAACTTAGAAGCACAGCTGCTATCATGTTTTAGCAGCCACTATCTTCCAGTATTTTTTCAAGCCTTTTCGGAGAGGACGAATGTAGACGAGGAGAACAATTGGCACCATCACGAACTGACCGACGATCAAGAGTTCACCAAATTTCTGAACTCCAGTTCCAATGACATAAGTTGTCAGATCAAGTGCGCTGGCGAACTGGTAGAGTACGTCATAGGATACGCACGCCAGATAATTGACAAACAGAGGGATGATGCACATTGAACCTGTTATCCTGCCTAAAGCAGCGGCAGAAGTATTTGCAGACAACTGAGTCTCACTGAAACGTGTGTTGTCGAAATGTAGCAGTTCCAACTTATCTTCGCGTCTGCACTCCGTTGGCGTCCGTATCAAACGCAGAAGACAGACACATATGTAAGTTAACACACAGCCATCAAAAACCATCAGAATTGAAACCCAGAGGTAGACTTGTGCATATATAAGTGATAGGAAGGGAATATTAATCTTTCTGTTGGAGCAGCTGCAGTCATCACCCACTAGGTTCACTGAGAAGGTCTGTGGTATGGTCATAAAGACACTAAAAACTGCGATTGTTGTGCTATACGTGGATATCTGATATTCGGCTGATATCATCTTGTACTCATCAGCACCGGTCATGTCAAGGAAACGATAGACGGCAAAGAAGAAAAGGAATTGAGAGGCGATGACCAAGAAAATCCAGTAGAGAAATCGGCTTTCCCAGAAGATGCAGACGAGGCGATTGTAGTGGTAACTGGATGTCTTTTGTATTTGCGGCCCTGCGTCCTCGATTAAGTTAACCAAACTGGCCATCGCGCAAGACATAACAAAGCCTCGCAGTAGCGCTAAGCTCGTCTTGCAGGGTCCTCGCAGCATAAATAGGAGAATGGCAACGACAAAGTTCAGTAATACTCCTAGGGCATCAAACATGATAAGCAAGATATCAAAGACATCAGGCCACTGCTGTGAGTCGATGCAATACCAGAACGTATGCGACTCGCCCATTTTCCTCGTTAGATAATGCACAGGCGCAAGTTGACCGCAGAATATATAGACGTTGCTGGCTCCTGTTAAAGACCTTGACCAATAGCCTTTTTTTTCTCAGAAGGCGTAATGCGTAACTATGGGTTGTCCTCCTAGGGCAGATAAATAAGTCACCCGATAGGCATTATAAGACCTTAGACTCGCCTCTATTGCCAGAAATAGGTCAAGCGCGTGTGATATACCCGTCGAGCATACCTGTTGGCTCTCGGTGGAATTCATTTCACTGCTCAGCTATTAAGTTACTATTTACAAGTACGCTTGTACCATCCTTTGAGGACCGTCAGTCATTGTTGCTTATAAAGTTTACAATTTTGCTGAGTTGACGCTTGATGCCTCATAAGAAGTTCATGATACACTTTTCAGGATTTCGGTGCGTTTTCGTTAATTGTAAACTGGGTGCTTCAGGATCGCATATTGTCTAAGGTTACCGAAGAATGTAATATAAACGTATGTATAAGGTTTATTGTCAGGAGTTTCCTTGGTAGTGGCGGAACAAAACTCCACATTTCCAGCATTTTTGACAGCGATTCGAGCTCAATTTGAGCACGATTAGGGTTAGGGTAAGGGTTAGGGGTTATGGGTTAGGATTAGGGTTATGGTTAGGGTCAGAGGTTAGAGTTAGAGTAAGGGTTAGGGTTAGGGTAAGTGTCACGGTCAGGGTTAGGGTAGGGGATTGGGACTAGGGTAGGTTTAGGGTTAAGGTTAGGTGAAGGGTTAGGGTAAGGGTGTGTTAGGGGTTAGGGTTAGGTTAAGGTATAGGGTGAGGGAAAGGGTTATTACTGGGTTTTGGGCAAAAGAAAGTTTTCGGAGTAAAACTCTGCATCTCCAAGTTTGTCGGCAGTGATTCTTACTCGATTCGAGCTCAATTCGAGCTCGATTTGTTTTTTGCGCCCTTTTTTGATTTACGCGGCCTGTAGCTACCGTATTAAATTATTTCAGCAAAATATTACGCATTTTTCTTCTTATTTTCACAAAACCCTTTTTTGGTAAATCAGTTTTACCAACTCAAAAGAAACCCCCTCACGGTTACCGTATGAAAACAACCTACGGCTTGTTGTATCCAAGACCACTACGAAGGAAACTCCTGCCGGTTAATTGATAAATCAGGTCTTGGGCGCCGTCAAAATGTTTTTAAAACAGTAAAAAAAACTAAAGCAAACTCTGTCATTTATGGATTTTCGATTTTTTACTCCAACGGAGGTAGAGTTGTCTTCGTCAATTTGGAGGACAAACATTCAAGAAGATGGAAGTGATTGTAAAAGTTGGGCTTTTCGCGAGTAGTAGAGTCGTCAAGCAGAAGGTTGCCCCAAATCAAGAGTCAGGCAAGACGGTGTTGATTGAGAGGGCCATTTATTGCGGGAAAATAGACAGTAGGAAGGCTGTGTT